CGACCATTTCTGGCCGGCAACTTTCAGCGTCATTAAGCCGCTGCACCACCACGTCCCCCTTATAAATAAATATTCACGCATAAATAAGATAGCAAAGGCTGCCCTATTGCCTGGACACCATCAGTTCCATACCTGTAATACATATGGCCAAGGATCAAACAAAGAGAAGACTGTTTTTAGGACTAGTGATTTCAGCTCTAACTGCTTAGTTACTGGGGTAGAGAACAGTTGCCAAAGTGCACAATAGCAGAAATCCTGCAAGCTGTGGCAAGACATGCAGGCAGCAAAACAAAGCGTGTTGAGCAATTTCTAGATGCAAAGTTCACAAGTTTGGGTCTTCTCCAAGCCAAGATGTCAGCATGTTAATCAACTGCAAATCTGGAAGATGTGCGTGTGACGCATATTAATGGAGTAGAGCATTCCATGGAGAAAATAAGGAGATAGGATAGGGATGAAAACAATGAGAGCTGCTGTGTCGGTCCTCGTGAACATAGTCACACATGCTCCTACTTTCACAATTGGTTTTCTTTAATAATCATCCTTAACTAAAAGGAGCTTCTGATTTGATCTCTTCAAAGAATAAGATGCTTTAAATGTAGATGCATTAATTGAGCTTGCAGTCAGCAGTAAAATGAGGGATTCTTGATGCTTGTTTTCTGTCTACCATCTCTTTGTAGCTGAAGTTTATTGTCCTTTTGGATAATATACCAAACAATGAACAACTAAATTTTCTGCTGGACATGGCAAGTATATTTTTGCCCCTAAATATATTCTCAGTCAAAAGTCCCAGCCCATTTTGCTTCCCTGGCAAGTTTTTTTGGAGTAATGCTACACTAAAGACTGCCTCTGACCCTTGATTGGTGAAAGATGCTGACTCTGCATTTCTTCTCTCTACTCCCACAGCTTTGGTGGAACAGCAGGAGCCATTTTGACTTGTCCATTGGAGGTGGTGAAGACGCGCCTGCAGTCCTCCACCTTGGCCACAAGGCCCCTTTGCCTACCTGCAGTGCAGTTGCAAGGAGTGAATGGAACATTCGTCCGCCCGGGACTCCCCAGGATTGGGTTCCTTGAACTGCTAAGGTGAACAGTGGTGGGAGAGCAGTTCTGTGTTACATGGGAACCCCTGCCCAATGTTCGCAAAAATGTCCCTGTTCATATTCTCACCAGCTCCTCCTCTACCCTGAAAGAGAGGACAGAGAGTAATGTACTCATTCCTTTCCTACACAGAATCATTCTAGAGAAGGAAGGTGTTCGCTCCCTGTTTCGAGGCCTGGGACCTAACCTTATTGGAGTTGTTCCTTCCAGGTAAAATTGATTTATGGAGCAGGTAGTTATCTCTAATGACCCAAGCATAACTTTACAGAGTTCCTCATTGTGTCAGAGGGTTCAGGTCCTCTTGATGCATGGCATCTATGGACTTTAAAGAACCTACTACCTTGGTATTTTCTCTTGGTTTGCTATCCAAATCCAACCTTGCTTAGCTTTTTGAGATCCAATTTCCCCTTTCTTCTTCTAGGGCCATTTATTTTGCTGCATATTCAAGAGCTAAAGAGAGACTCAACACAGTGCTTATGCCAGAGTCCAAGAAAGTTCACATGATTTCAGCAGCCTGTGCAGGTAAATTAATATCCCATACATACAAATATGGGTTGCTTATGTCACTAATCATTAAGTGCCCTAAGCTTTAGTGAAAGATCAGTATATACCAGCCTTTCTCAATCTTTTTACCCTGGAGGAGCCCTTGAAATAATTTTCAGTTTTTAGGGAGCTTCACAACCCAATTAATTTCTAACCTACACAATCCATGTTTTACAGCATTTACAACAACAGCAAAACCGCAGACTGGCAGCTAAGTTGCAGCATGTAAAAATTCCCCTATCATGATTTTTCGTAGAAGTCCTAGCAACTTCTCACAGAATCCTAGGTTTCCATGGAACCCCAGTTGAGAAAGACGGGTGTATCATAAGAGTCAGAATTAAACAAGGAATACGTTGTATGCTATATATATTCAAGAAGCTTCATAACTTCCCAACTTAGAGTCTAGCAGGTCAGGCTAGGTTTAAGTTCCAGAACAATCACAGTGAGACACCAACACAAAGTGTTCCCTCTGTGGGATGGGTCCAAACATTTTTACACCTTTCAACAAGGCTTGACCAAGCCATCAAAGCTTGGCCAATTCCATCTTGGTTCTTTTCATGCACCTCCAAAAGTCTTATCCACCAGGCTTCCTCCATTTCTCATGGAATCTATTGCTTGGGAGCCATCTTTTTTGGTGTCTTCTTCAATCCTGTGACTTTTCCTGATGCCGAGTAAGCTGAAATCTTCCCAAGCAAAGCTTTTGAGCAAATCTGTCTCTTTGGCCTGCTCTGAGTCTTTCATACATGTCCATTCGTACAAATGTGTGGCACAAAGCTGCACTTTATCACTATACTATGACTTTATAGAATGATTGCTATTATATGTTAGTAATAATATACCAGTATTTCCACACAAATACATGTTTCTTCTCTAGATAACTTTTTATCCTGGAAGCAACTCACGGTTTTGTGGGGTTTTTTGTTGTTGTTGTTTTTTTGCTACGAGTGCCAAAAACTGAGATCAGACACAGGCAGAACAAAGGAAGACTGAAGCAAAAAACCTATGAGTTGTCTGAAATTTCTTCCCACTGAAATTAACTGTGTTTGAAAATGTATCACTTTGTCAGGAATAACTCCAAATAATTTATTGGAATTGATTACTGGGCTGGTAAGCGTCCTCTAGGGACAAGCAGGAAATCAAAACTGCTTTTTGTTTCGAGCTTAATTCACAGGAATCCCACTCAAAATATCGAATTGACAGTTTCAAGTTGTTCCATCAGGACAAAACATGTTGAGTGTTCCAGGAAAGAAAAGTATGGGAACTTCCTTGTTGCTGTTCCCTTGCTTATCATCCTAGGTTTAAATTGGGGTGGGGTGATAGTTGATGCTGAGTACTACCTGCCACTGAAATTGCAAAAAGTTGGGTCAAAGGCATGATTTTAAATTTGTTAAAAATATTAAAATAAATCTGCATAGGAGATAATGAAAACATGCTTCTGCACTCAGAATATGACTCAGCTTTCTGCAAATACGGGTTGTACTGTACTTAGATGTAAGTACATACAAAGTAAAAAGACAAAATACTAACTAAAAAGTTTGTTTAGATTAGCACCCCTCTCCCCCAAAGCATAGAAAGGTTTTTTTCAATTACTTAAAAAATAATAATGTTAGCAAAGATTACAGGACAAAGAGAACAGCTAAACTTTTTAACATTCCCTTGAAGTAGTACATCTCTCCTATAAATCTTCATGTTTTGAATTTTTGCTTTTTTAAAAAAAAACTTGGCCAATTTTCTTTAGTTACTGCTGCTTTATATCAGCCTAGCTGCTGGTGCAAGTCCAGCAAAAGCAAAGGTGGCATTCTTCTCTTAAGCTGTTGCTTGTGTATAAGGATGGTTGCTGGGTGCATAAAAAAGAGCCACTGGTCCTTCCTGGAAGCCTGAATCACATTACAGCAGAACAGAAGAGCATGCAAAGTGCCCTTGTGTATTGGAGCTTTACAAATCAACCAAACCAACATTGCACTGAACGTTGGATGCTGTATAAATGTATACAACTTTATGAACCAAACTATAAGGGGTGTGTGCGTACACACACCTTTGCATTGGAAAATAAAGCATAGCTCAGCTTACATGGAACTCACCACTTCACCCATTTGAAATATGTATGTATGTATGTATATAAATACATATAAATAAAAATAAAGCAGTAACTTACCAGGTAGACTGGTAATCATGCAGTTGTCGTCTCTCTGGCCATGCACATAAGTGCATTTTTTGATGTTGCACTTCTACATCAGTCCATCCAGAACAGCACGGTCAGGACTGGTCTCTGCTGTGATTCGATTAGGCTGAGGAAGAAACTGAAAAGAAAAACAGTCCACACAACAGGACAGCCCAGTTGCAGTGCTCAGATCACTCAAAATGATTCCTCTTGTAATGCTGCATTTTGTTTCATGCTCAGAAGACTCAAAATGGATTATTTAAGGCAGAACATTTTGAACCTCTCTAGTCTCTGCTATAGTCCTCTAAATTTCATGTTGGTCCCTTTGATTTTTCTTCATCTGCTCCCTGCAGGTGTCACATCTGCCACTTTGACCAATCCCATCTGGTTAGTGAAGACCAGAATGCAACTGGAGGCCAGGTAAGGGCAGCAGGAAGTACACCTGTCCAGGACCCCATTTTGAGTTACCTGCATTGCCTGGATCCTTTCCAGGCACCATAGAAAACCAGTTTTTAAAACAACTAACTGCAAATATCAAAGAAGGGAGATTTGTCAGCTGATACAGCCAATCAGAGTACAAATAGACTATCTTGCACTTAAAGCACAACATTCAGAGCCCTAGAAACCCCAGCTATTTCTTTTTCCTTAAAGTTACAAATAAATGCTTGAATTGCCTGGGGCATTTCAGAAGCCCAAGGTACTGGATAATATTTTGTGTTGTCAAAAGGTAAAGTTTCAGTTTTTACAGTCTCCCAGTGCCTCCTGAGGTCTGTAAACAAATCTGTATTATGTAAGATAGTAAAAACCATAGAATAAAATACGCAAAAAGAGTTTATTTTTTTTAACTGCTTGATTTGCATTATTTAAGCAGGTTGCAGAATGTAGGTTTTTGAATTCAAATTTTAGCTGCAGCATTAGATACCCATTTTTAGTACTGAAAAAGCATAGCAATATTGGCAATAGGAAGCAAAATCTTTCCTTCCTTCCTTTCTTCAGGGGCAGAAATGAGAAGTGCACCAGTGGCCTTCAGTGTGCCATGCGCGTCTATTACAGAGAAGGCCTGCGAGGCTTTTACCGTGGGGTTACTGCCTCCTATGCTGGTATCACTGAAACTGTGATCCACTTTGTGCTTTATGAGGCTTTGAAGCAGCGACTCAGAGAACATCAGCTGCTCCTGACTCCAGCGGTTATCCAGTCACCCAACAGCCAAGATTTCTGCGGGCTGATGGCAGCAGCGGCTGTCTCCAAAACATGTGCTTCATGCATTGCCTATCCACATGGTGAGTTGCTCTGAGCTCTTTGCTCTCCTTTGAACCCATCTGACCATAATGAGTTTTCTGCCATCCTTACACTCTTTTTCTGTTTTATTTGTTCTCCGTAGAGGTGGTCCGGACACGGCTACGTGAGGAGGGACATCGTTACCGCTCCTTCGTGCAAACTCTGCAGCTTGTGGCCAGAGAAGAAGGCCCCTTAGCTCTTTATCGTGGACTTTCAGTTCACCTCCTTCGTCAGATCCCCAATGCTGCGATTGTTATGGTTACCTATGAGCTGATCATTCACTTGGCAACCAAATTGTGATACCTTCCCATTCTTGCCAGATGGCTGAAGCTGTTAAAGGCTTTTAAGGGTATGGTGCTTTAATGGGTACACTTCCCCATCCCATAGTAAGCGCTGAAAAAGAAGCCTAAAAACTTAGGCACCTTCTGTAATACGTGGTTTTGAAGACTTGATAAGTGAAAGACATCTTCAACTGCTTTTGGCCTTTATCAGACATTTAAAGGCATGGACAAAGGAGCAAGTACAGACCACAAATTTGGAAATTCCAAATGTGGAATTTACTATGCAGAAATGTTTTGAACAAAACACCTCTACTGGATGGTTCCAGGGTCCTGCAGGCCAGGTACTCATGTACCTGTGTACCAATGTACTCGTCAGGTGGTTTGGTGCACTGAAAGAGTTACGCTGTACACTTCCTAGAGCTGGAGCTAATCTGGTCAGCTGGGTGGGAAAATGCAGAGTTTTTAAGAAAAACAGTAAAAACTAGGAAGTTTTATTGGAAGGAGAATAGTAATTTTAATCCCAAAATTGAGTTCTCCATCAGTATCAGCCAGTGATCAGAACTTGACAGACCCAGTAATGTTTCTCTTTTTAGCCTACAAATATAGCAAGTTGCTTATCTTCTGAAGGTAGGCTGGGTGCTTGTGCCTTCCCTATTCATGTTCATGCCTTTCCCACAACACAGCAACAATAAGGACTGGAAAATAAGTTTACTGGGATGTGCTGTGCATGGACTACCTTTGTATTTATCTTCTGGGGCTTTGTTTACATTTCTTGATTTGTAGATTTTACCTCCCTAACAGGAGGGTAAAAAAAAAATCAAGTGGAGAAGAAAATAATCTGCTGGCAGCTAGCATGCACGATTCTCCATGTGGGGGAGAGCTGTACAGTGTTGAAGAGAATTCGCTGAAGCCGGAATCTAGCACACCCTCCAGCTGAAAGCTTGTGCATGGACTTCTGGCTCTATGAGTTAAAAAAAAAATGCAAAGAAGAATAAAACTGCAGTTTTGAGACTTAGCTCATTTAGCTCATTGAGACTTAGCTCAAATGAGACTTAGCTCATTTATCAAAACACATTGTATCGTGTTTTAAGAAATGAAACCAGGCCTTTATGCTAAGATGATTGATTGATTGGATTTTTATCCCGCCACAATTTTGCAACTCTTGCTATTTATTTATAATAAATGAATAAAGAGAAGTGGATGGGAACAAGCCTCCCCCTTGACTCTTGGAAAATTAGAAGAATCCCAAGCATTTCCAGGCTCATCTCTCAGGAATGCAGGCTAACCTCTTTAGCTGAGCTCCTCCTGGGTTTCCCTGAGACTTGAACTGTCCTCCCCGCAGGAACCTTTCATTCCCTAATAGGTGCTATCCAATTTGGGAGCAACACATAGACCAGGGTTTTGCAAACTCTGCTCCAGGGAACTCCAGGGTTCTGCAAGAACTTGGTGGAGTTCCCTGAGAGACTAAAGGCCAGGAAAAAAAAAAAGTTCACTTGAACATCACAAATTTTCCATCCCTGGAGCTTTGCCTCTTGATTGGGTTCTGGGAGAGGATGGATGGATGGATGGATGGATGGATAGATAGATAGATAGATAGATAGATAGATAGGATACATGCACACACACAATTTATATTTATTTTAATGAACAGGTTCCATAACCTGAAAAAGTTTGAAAACCCCTGACTTAGATTACCAGCTCCTTGACAGAAGGCATCATCTTCACCAGATGTAGCTCCAGCTTCCCTAAAGGTCTGACTTTGGGCCTTCCTCTGCGCATTCTACTCTTATGCTTGCCCAATAAGTTCTGCAATTCAGAGAATTTAGGCAGAGGAAACTTCTGAAGAGGTCTACTGTGAACAAAACATTTTGCTGAGTTGTTGCATCCCTTTGTCTTCTTTTTGCTGCACCAGATAGGGGCATTAGCAAGACAACAAAGCTGCTTGTTTCTGAAGAAAGGGGCTCCAAAATCCAGACCATACATTTTTAAAATCCTTTTTATTTTAAAATTTGTTCCATTCCCTTTTCCATATCATTTTTCCTTCACTTGCTTGAATATTATTGACAATTTTACAAAGCGACACAAGCTGCAGGGTTTTTTGTTTCTTTGCATCAAACAATCTCAAACAACAACATTGAAAAAATATACAATATATTATATATATAGTATTTTGGGAATTCTGATGTACCCCGTGTGTTGTCCCTCCCTGCTCCCCTCTCATTTCTCTATGTTTCGATTACATAGCATGCCAATTCATTTAATCCTTCACGAGTATGGTGGCGATCCTAAACTGGGAATTGAGTTAGGGGGCCCTGCCCCACCAGTCCAAGCAAGAAGCTTGCAAGTTGAGAGGAACTAGGAATCTGGGAAGAGAGAAGGGCTCTTCTTCTGAGCCCTGCTGTTCAACTGTTTTTAATGAGGATCAAAATGGGTACACTTTGGGCCAAGGGAAGCAGTAACTTCAAGAGGCAGAGCAGAACCAGAGCAAAATTAATTGCTGACATAGGACAAAATATACAGTAATGCTCTCGCAGAGCTGCCATTTGTTTCAATGAGCTTTGGCTAAGGGACTTCCTTGAAGATTGACCCCAATGGTAATTTAGTGGGAGAAGGTGCCAATCAGGTCTTTTGCCTCATGCACCAAAACTTTGTGTCCTCACCAGTCCACTGTGCAAACAATGGAGAAAACAGGAGGAAGGTGGGGTAAAATGTAAATAGAGAAAATGTGTAGAAATGGGCCATATCCCCAAATATTAAATGTAAGCAAGACCTTTTGCCGATGGTCTGCTTTTACCCCATCCATTATATCCCTCTAGAAGCGACAAGAGGCATCATGCTTGCCCATGAAGCGCCGCTCATCGATGGCATCGCTGGCTAGGCTGTCTGGTGATTCAGAATCACTGCTGTCTTCGTCTTCAGCTGCTTCCCTGGTTTTGGACTCATCAGCCTCTGCTACTCTCTCCTGGCAGTTCTGGTAGGACTGTTGAAGAGAAAGGATACAGGGAGTGAGCAAAGTTAAGCATGGCCTCTTCCCGCCCCTCCATCTCTCGCTTTACTCACCTCCATGGGGTTGACAATAATGGTGAGAGCAGAGTCGTCCCAGAACATCTCATTCTCCTTGGCCCTGGCACTTCCCTGGCTTCCTGCAGACTCCCCAGTGCCCTCATGTTCACTCCCTCGCCTGTGCAAGGAATGGATGCGCAGCACACCTAGGATTACCATCAGTGCTAGGAAGCCTACGCACACCACAATGATTATAGTAGCAGCACTAGGAACCACTACAGAAAAGAGAAGAGAGAATCTAAATCAGTTGGGAAGTAATGTTCAGTAGTCACTTCTTTTTTTGATCATATAAAACGCAGAAGCAGAGATCTGTTGTGGCCCTCCACTGAGTTGGTGATGTTGGCCCTCCACTAGGTTACAGCCCCAAGGAAACTGCTGGACCATAGAGGATTGAACTCAACCCCTCCAATATATAATCTTCCTAGACTTTGAAAGGACAAGTACTGAAACCCTGTTGAGTTTGGATTTCACAACCTGGAAGAACCAGACAGTTTGACCTAATCAGCTGGGTCCAAAGGTGCAGAATACCAATGGCCATTCTTTGAACAGGTCTGAATCCCCAGTTCCATCCAGAAGAATTATGGCTTCAGGAAGCCAAACAGCACACTGAGAAGACCCAGCCAAAGAAAACTGGCAAACAGTTACAGGTAGTCCTCATTTAGCAACTGTTCACAGTTATGATGGTGATGAAAAAGTAATTTTGTGACCAGTCCTCCCATTTCCAACCTTTGCAGGCCTGTAAAGCAAAGTAAAATAGATCATAAGCACAATTGTGGTTTCACTTAGCAACCACTTTGCTTAAGGACTGAGTTCCCAGTCCTAATTGTGGTCACTAAATGAGGACTACCTGTATTGATAGGGACCCTGATCTTCCAACTGTTGGGGGATCCTTCTAACTCCAATCTTCAAAGATCAGAGCTGAGTGCTAACACATCCCAGTGCTGCAAAGGAAAGGCAAGTCTTTTTGCTTCTCTCGGCCTCTCCCACTCTTCGATACAGAAAGTTTGTATTTTATTCTTCATCCCCAAGTCAAACCAGTCCCTGTGCAAAAGTGCTCCCAGAAGGCTAAGTAATAACCTGTAGTGTCAAAGTTCTGCCAAATTTGGGGCTGTGGGAGGCCCCAGTTTGTCACATTAGTAACAACCAATATATTAAATCCAACCATTGGGCCATCTCAGTTATCATCTGCATTGACTAGTGGCAGATCTCCAGGGGCTCAGCTATAGGAGATTGAATTTGCATGAATTTGCATGTGCTTATTCACTGAATTTTGCCCTTTCACTGTTGTGGGGTTGGGGAAGTTTCACCATTACCACAGCTGCAGGTCACAACTGCCCTTCACTGCTGGGTACTACGAACTGGCAGAATTGTATTTCTGAGTCTGTCCCTGGAAAGAATTGTGTTTGGACTGAATGCTGGGAGGGCATTTCTGGATTGCCTTCACTCTTCCACATGGCTGCATTTCTCTTCATCCAAGTTTATAAATGTCAAGCAATCCTGTCTTCAAAGAGACACAGGATAGGAAGTGCTACAGTAGTTCTGTGGTGGAGAAAATAAACGTAGCAAATCAAACAGCCAGTTTGGTGGAGTGGTTCAGGCACCAGGCTAGAAACTGGGAGACCGTGAGTTCTAGTCCCATCTTAGGGACAAAGCCAGCTGGGTGACCCTGGGCCAGTCACTCCCTCTCAGCCCTAGGAAGCGGGCAAGGGCAAATCACTTCCAAATAACCTTGCCAAGAAAACTGCAGGGGCTAGTCCAGGCAGTGGCCAGGAGTCAAAAACTGACCTAGAGGCACAAATTATACTATAGACTGGACCCTTTTACCTCCCTGCCTTTCGGACATCACCAGGGTCAAACCCAGCTCCTCCCTTTGCCTAATCCTATCAGACCCAAACTGACCCTCCCTGCCCCCAGACAAAGCCCCCCGCCCCTCCTCACCAGCACACAGCACAGCCCAAGGACGGCTCTGATAAGGGAATTCCAACCAAGTAACAAGCTCCGCCAGCCTGATGACCTCCACATTCCATCTCCCCCTCTGCTGCTACTCTTGAACAGGCAGTTTTGCCTAACAATAGAAATAACCACAGGGACAGGGACCTGCCTAGCTTCCCCAAACTGGCCAGCGAATCAGATCCCTAGGATTTCCCACCTTGTAGTCCTCAGCTTCTGTAAAACCTTTGCTTTCTCATTGCTCAGGGTCCCTTGTTCCTGTAAGGCACCCATCATTGCAATAAACATGGTTCCCTCTCCTCAGTGTTGGGCTCTGTACTTCTCATGACAGTTCAACTTCAAGGTTACGAAGGGTTATTAAACTGCTGAGTAAGAATTTCAAAAACAAACAGAAAGCCATAGATGATCTAGATAATCATTTAGGTGACTGGTGCCACTAAATCAACCTACATTTTATGGTAAGACCTCAGTGATGGCAAGAAGTCTCTTTTCTCCAGTCATCAGACCCAAAGATTAGTTACAGTGATGCAGTTTTGCTCAAATATATTCTAAATGCAGTTACTGCTCTTCCTGAAATCTGGGCAAATTGGCTTCATTTTGCCTTTACATTGGGCTTAATTTATTCCTCATGATGAAGGTAAGACACTCTCTTGAAGGATTCTTCCTCGACTTACAGACCTCCTAGTCTCTTCCCTCTCCTTTGCTACAATTGTTCCGAAAAAAGTATGTGGAGGAATCCATTTGAGGTCTGCTAGGTCTCATCTGTTTGGGCCCTAAAATTATATGTGCTAACCTGTCTTCTCTTATTACCATTTCATAGTCTGTATTTAGTACATCAACCAATACGTACTGGAATTACGGTGGACATTAGCCAGGCTGTGCCCAGAAAGCTCTGGAGGCAGATGGTGGCCTCGATGTGTGAATTGCTGGCCACTCATAATGTGGTTGGGGTGAGCACCTTGATTCATATTATGAAGGACATTCACCTGTAGAGAGAAATTAACTAAGTTCAAATTGTTTTACAGGTAGTCCTCACTTAACAACCTCAATAGGGACCAGAAAATTCATCATTAAACGAGGCATCATGTGATCACACTCAATTTTACGACATTTTTGCAGTAGTTGCTAAGCAAATCACTTTGGTCGTTAAGTGAATCGCATGGTCATTAAGTGAATCATGCTGTTCCCCATTGATTTTGCTTGCTATAAGCCAGCTGGGAAAGTCACAAATTGTGATCACATGACCCCAGGATGCTGCAACTACGGTAAGCGCAAGCTGGTTGCCAAGTGCCCAGATCGTGATCACGTGACCGTGAGGGCACTGTGATGGTCATAAGTGCGAGGACCGGTAGTAAGTAGCTTTTTTAGCACTGTCAGAACTTTGAATGGTCACTAAACAAATGGTTGTTAAGCGAAGACTACCTGTATATCCAACTGGTTCTACTTACTTCAGTTATTCACAAGAGCTTTGAGTATCACATACTGTCTTGTGAGACTTACCTCAACAGTGAACTCATTGCTAGAGTAACGCCCGTTCATCTCAGTGCA